ATGGTGTTGAAGGAAAAATAATTCATTCTAAAAAACACAAATGAAGTCAATTCATTTTTATTTTTCTTTGCTGTGTCTTTTCAGGTTTAGGTCTTAGTTTTAATTTTGCTTATATTTCAAAGAAATTAAAGCAGTGCATTTTCATGGAGAAATGGAACCAAACTTTAAATGACTTTATTTTAATGGGCCTGTTACCCCAAAACCAAACTGGCCTCCTTCTCTTGCTCCTGATCATCTTTGTGTTTGTTCTCGCCTGTTTGGGGAACTCAGGAATGACTGCCCTCATCTTCTTGGACCCGCGACTCCACACCCCCATGTACTTTCTCCTCAGCCAGCTCTCCCTCATGGACCTGATGTACATCTCCACCACTGTCCCCAAGATGGCCATCAACTTCCTCTCTGGCCAGAAGAGCATCTCCTTCCTGGGCTGTGGTGTGCAAATGTTCTTCTTTGTCACCATCGCATGTTCTGAAGGCTTACTTCTGGCCTCCATGGCCTATGACCGCTTTGTGGCCATCTGCCACCCCCTCCACTATCCTGTCCGCATGAGTAAAATCATGTGTTTGAAGATGATCATAGGAACCTGGATATTGGGTTCCATTCACTCTCTGGTACACACCATCTATGCCCTTCATCTTCCTTACTGCAGGTCTAGGGTCATCAATCACTTTTTCTGTGAGGTCCCCACCATGTTGCCTCTGGTCTGTATGGACACCTGGGTCTATGAGTACACAATTTTTGGGAGCACAGTCATATTTCTCCTCCTTCCTTTCCTTGGCATCATGGCCTCCTATGGACGGGTCCTTTTTGCTGTCTTCCACATGCGCTCAAAAGAGGGGAGGAAAAAGGCCTTCACCACATGCTCCACACATTTAACCGTGGTGACCTTTTACTATGCTCCTTTTGTCTACACTTATCTCCGGCCCAGGAGTCTCCGCACCCCAGCAGAGGATAAAAGCCTGGCTGTCTTCTACACCATCCTCACCCCCATGCTCAACCCCATCATCTACAGCCTGAGGAACAAGGAGGTGCTGGGGGCCATGGGAAGAGTGTGGGGGATGCTCTCCTCCAGAAAGAAGTGAGCATGGTCATCTCTGCTCTTCTGTATGGCTTCTCTCCATGCAGACAGGAACTCTAGAACAGTGCTGACCTATAGATGTATACTATAATCTACATATGTAATTAGATTTTTAGTAATATATTTATTAGCAAAATTAATTAGATATGTCAATTTCTAAGCATAAGTATAATAATTATTACATGTGTTTTATAGGAAATGCTATAATTAATACAGCATGAACAATGGATTGATTTATATTGTACTGTTGTTACAACTTTTTTACATAAAGTAATATTAGTGTAAATATAGTTGTACTGAATTTGACGTTTATCATTTCTACATATCTGATATTATTATTGTGCTTTTATATCTTGTTTTCATTCTAATTTTGCAGACCCTTGTGTGGATTTTATAATTCATACCAACTTGCAAGTTACATATTTCAGGTGTCCCAAGGTCACATGAGTCAGTGTCTACTGATGATAGGACCTCTGGTGACTTGCAGTCTTCTCCTTTAGTACACAATGTGCTTTATTGTTTTGACTATGTTCCCTTGTCTTGGGACAAAGAATTGTATTTGAATCTCTGTACAAAAAGCCATTTTTCTTTTAATTTTTAGTTTTAATACTTGCAAAAATAATTAGCTTCAAGAGGCTCCTAGTGTTATGGGCCAGGCTATATGGGCAGTGAGCAAACAGAATCCATTTTACCCTTAGACTTCATGTCATGTAAGAAATGCTTCTCCCATGGGAAAGCCCAGCCTCTGTACCCATTAATAGTTACCAAGCATGACATACTTGGCAACACAAAATAGCAATTCTTATACAATGTAAAATTGTTCTCTTTGGTTTCATTTTTCTTGGGCATGTACCCTGTAAGAGACTGCCTAGATGTTAGTAACCACTCTCTAACTTGTACTCAACTAGGATCATTTTGACCCACTTCCCTTCTGCTTGCTTGCTCCTTATGCCAACCTGGAAAGTCCCATGGGAAATACCAATGTACCCATTGCATTGTCGCTCTGACTGCCCAGTTCAGCTTCTGTACCTGCTTGCTTGCAGCTATATCAACCCCGATCTGGGTTTTGCAGTTTTTGTCTTTAAATATCCTAAAATGCTCAGGCTTGGGGCTGTTCCTTGCAGAGATAGTTATGGGTCCTGTGGGGAGCAGTTGCCAGCTGGCTAAATAAAGACTCTTTAGACAAAACTGGGACTTGGTGTGTTTTCTGAGTGACCTGCCCCACAACATCTGGAGGTCCCACCAAGACCTACTTTTCTTGCTTTCTGCAGATCGCTCAGGACTACCAAGGGAGGGACCTTGGCAAAGAGATCACCTAGGGGAAGGCCTCTGATAAGATGTTCCTCACACCTGACCCCCACCATCTAAAACTACCAAGAGTTGTCTGTGTTTCCCTGGGAAGGTAAGTCTGATCTGTGTGGATCTGCACCTGGAGAGGCTGGGGAAAGCTGGATGCGGCATTATTTTCTGAGTCCAGGGCTAGCCAGACGTTCCTTAATCCTCTGGCCTGGTTTTGTCCTCGGTCCTCTACTCTGAGTCAGGTTTTTACTCAGCCCTCTGCTCCAAGTCTGGTTTTTACCCAGTCCTCTGGTCTGAGCCTGGTTTTCTGTCAGTTAAATTTGTCTTTGGTGCCTTACCTGTTGTGTGTTTTATTGTCTGTCTTGTATTTTTGTCTTGTTTGTTGTTTATTATTGTTGTTCCCATTTTGTTTTGTGTTAGTTTCTACCTTATTTTTTTTGTTTTATATATATATATTTATTTATAATATATTTATAATATATATATAATATATTTATAATATATATATAATATATATTAGTTGTAGTTGGACATAATACCTTTATTTTATGTATGCATATGTGGTGTTGAGGACCCAGTGCTCTACCCCTGAGCCACAACCCCAGCCCTACCTCAGTTTGTTTCTAGTGTTAAAAAATGGTTAAAAGGTTTGTAACTGTGCTCACTAAAGCTTGCATTAAAATGTAAATGGCTGCCAACAGCTCTAAAAAAAGGTCAAAAGTAAAAGCTATAGGTAAAAAAAAAAAAAAGAAAAGAAAAGCATTCTAGAGAATGCCTTCATTTAGGAACTGGGCCAGGTGGCCTGCAGGGTAGACAATGTCAGTTCCTACAGAGGGCAGATTAGAACTAAAGTGTTTTATAAAATTATTATTTCTAAATTGTATAACAAAAAGCATAATTTTGTCTAGAAAATTTGGCTTTTGTTTCTCAGTATTTGCAAGCATGAAAAACTCCCAACTATTAAAAATGTCAGGCAAAAATTTGGTGGCTGCTATCCAAGACACCAGAAAAAACAGTTTAGAATGGGACCCCAACCTGGGGACTTTCCCAAGGAGACCAATGGAGCTGCATCTTTGGGAAGTTCCTTCAAGGAGGAATAAGGCCCCATCATTTGTCTTATGTTTCCCTAACTCTTTTCACCTTTGATGAGCAGGACCACCTCAGGACAAAGGCCAGGAAGACTTTTAAAATTCTATATTTGTTAAATTCATAATTTTGATCTGAAACGCCTAGGTTAATGTGTTTTTCTGATTACATTTTGCATTGTTCTAAGGCTGATTTATAAGAGTTAGCTCTCAATCTAATAGGTTTTAAAAAAAAATAACCTACCAGGCTTTTGTTTATCTGTTTGTTTTGTGTAGGTGTACCGGTGTACTGTCTATCTACATGTATTGCTATGTCTATTGCTATATTTGGTACCAAAATTGACATACAAGCTCATAAATTAAAATTTAAAAATGGATCCAAATACCTTTGGTTCAGATGATTTAAAAAGTTCAATTTAAATAGGATAAATAAATAAGAGTACAGATATGTTTAAACTTACTAATGCACAGTTTTGTTTCTAGGTGGTCAAACAGTTGTGAATAAAATGTTAATGTCTATAAAGTATCTAATATCCATTGTCTCTAGGATTTTTTTCTTCATAGGAAAAAAAAATGACTAATGCTATTCAAGGCTGATATCTTGGCTTTTTTTCAAAAAAATAAGTAAATTAGATCTGACATATATGAAATTAACCATGGATGTGTTTGTTAGAGACATATGATTGGTTTACAAAGTTACTAGGCTAACTGTTAAATATAATATCAAAAACTCTTAATTCCTTAAATTTCATAAGGTAAAATACTTAAACATTATTGGTGCTTTTATAAATTGATAAATTAAAAAGACATTTAAAATTACTTTTTGTCATAACTAAAACAAGATTACTTGTTTTGTTTGTTGTGTGTTATTGTTTGTTCCCTTTTTTTTTGTTTTGTATTAGTTTCTACCTCATTTAAAAAAAAAAAAAAAATATATATATATATATATTATATATTAATATTATATATATATATACAAGTTGTAGTTGGACACAGTACCTTTATTTTATGTATGCATATATGGTGCTGAGGATCCAGTGCTCTACCCATGAGCCACAACCCCAGCCCTACCTCAGTTTGTTTCTAATGTTAAAAAATGGTTAAAAGGTTTTAACTATGCTCACTAAAGCTTGCATTAAAATGTAAATGGTTGAAAACCGCTCTAAAAAAAGGTCAAAAGTAAAAGCTAGAGATAAAAAAAAAAAGGCATTAAAAGTTAATGTCCCAACTGGTATAGTTTTATATACAAGGGGTCCAAAGGCTTCAACTATAATTCAATTAGAGTACTGTAAATAACAAAGCATTTCATCTTACTAAAATAGAGTAACTTATATAAATTCCAAAATTTATAAGGGTTATTTCAAAGTATAAACAGAAATGGATCAACTGGATTAAAAAATATTAAAAGTTTCTAAATATAACGATCTATTTAGTGAAAGGAAAAAAATATTTCCAGGTAAAAAAGACTTTATGTGGCAAAGTATAATTGTAATACATCTAAGTAAACAATAAGAGGGTCTAATTAAGTAACATAAAGTCTATAAATAAAGGATAAATATTAAAAGGTTATGTATAACTAAATTGGTTATATATAAGTAACAAACAGTTAAAACTGTTCACAGTTGTTCCATAAGAACAAATATTAATGTACTGACATAAAACAAAGTTTTATCTATATGTTAAAGTGACAAAAAGTTTTAAAAATACTATTTACATTGTGTCTTATTCTCTAGAGCAATTAGTCTTAGAAAAATTAAGGTTTGTACATCTGTGGTTAAACAGCAACTGCTATTTTAAAGTATTGTTTTATCTTCTGAGAAGTCTGTTCAGGTCCCTGCCCATTTATTGATTTGTTTATCTGGTTTTGGGGGGGTTTTTTGGAATTAAGGTTTTTGAGTTCTTTATATATCCTAGAGATTAGTGCTCTATCTGATGTGTGGAAAAAAATTTGCTCCCAAGATATTGGCTCTCTATTCACTTCACAGATTATTTCTTTTGCTGAGAAGAAACTTCTTAGTTTAATTCCATCCCATTTATTGATTCTTGGTTTTATTTCTTGCACTATAGGAGTCTTATTAAGGAAGTTGGGGCCAAATCTCACATATTGAAGATTAGGGCCTACTTTTCCTTCTATTAGATGCAAGGTCTCTGGTTTAATTCCTAGGTCCTTGGCCCACTTTGAGTTGAGTTTTGTACAGGGAGAGAGATAGGAGTTTAATTTTATCTTGTTGCATATGGATTTCCAGTTTTCCCAGCACCATTTGTTGAAGAGGCTATCTTTTCTCCAATGTATGTTTTTGACACCTTTGTTTAATATAAGACAATGTAATTTTGTCAGTTAGCCTTTGTGTCCACAATTCTGTACCATTGGTCTATCAGTCTGTTTTGGTGCCAATACTATGCTGTTTTTGTCACTATTGCTCTGTAGTACAGTTTAAGGTCTGGTATAGTGATGCCACCTGCTTCACTCTTCTTGCTGAGAATTGTTTTAGCTATTCTGGATCTCTTATTTTTTCAGATGAATTTCATGATGGCTTTTTCTATTTCTATGAGGAATGCCATTGGGATTTTGATCAGAATTGCATTAAATCTGTATAGTGCTTTTGGTATTATGGTCATT